CAAATTTCAAGGACTTTACGGACATATGAGATCAGGAATCATTTAAGGAGACCAGGGTAATAAGTATGAAGAATCATGATAAACAAATAGAACATTATGAAGCACTGCAAGTGATGATGAAAGAACTCATCAGAGCCTTAAAGCAGCATCAAAGGCAAATATACTTGAACCATACTCTGCAACAGTGAAAATTGAAATGCTTGCTATAATGAATTTCTGTGAAGCTAAATAAATGATATGCTGAAAAAAATGTCGGACAACTGGTTGGTTTCTGACAAGTGGGTCTGCATGTTGCCAACTGTTTGGACAGCAACCTAGTACCCCATTAAATAGGGGTTAAGGGGATATTGGTTTCCCAATCTAAGAGCATTCACATCTTGAATTCCCTATCTATGAGCAGCCAAAAAGTAGCTTTTATATCCTCAATGTAATTGTTATTATAAGTCATTTAGAGGTGTGGAGGGTGAGATTTTATAGAGAGGCAGCCCTAAGTGAGAAGTATGTTATGTAGTTGTCTGGATTTCCATTGAAAGATGGACCTGAACTATTCTTAGATCGATCGAATTGTTTTGTTCGTTTGGTATAACTTTGCTGAAGGGTGTGACATAGTCCTTCAGTTAGAAGTCTTTAAGCTGAAAGGGTGTGGTAGATGAGAAGCGATGAAAGCCTTACTAAGTATGTGATTCCGTTCCATGTACTGCCATTTGTCTTTGTTTTTGAAGTTCAAATAATTATAGCAAGGTCAAAAGAGGTGGATAAGAACTGCTTGGGTAGTTGCTAAGAGTAGCAAGAAGAAATAAGTTAATTATTGGTTTCTTCTTTGAAGATGCATTATATCAGATATGCATGTTCTTCTAGGACATTTTTTTGCTCTTTCAAACAAAAAATGCATGTCTTAAGTGCTTTGCTTCTTTTTTCTTTGAGGCGATCTAATTGATGTCTGTTAGATACAGTATACATTCTGTTGATTATCAACCATCAGTTATAAAGATTGCAAAATGTTCAACATAGTCGATGACTCACTGCTTGCATTGATTGTTATTTTCATCACAACTATTGTTATCTTCAGGTGCTAGTTTTGTTTCTAAGACTGGTTTGGATTCTGAGTCATATTGGCTTAAGCAGACTGTTCCCTAAGAATATGTGGGATCAGGAAGAATTTAATTTGTATATGACAGATCAAATGAGTGAATAGTCCTTGAGGGGCCTTGGTACACCCATGTTTTTAGTAAAATTTACGGTATAATTCTGTGAAACAAATACATATAATTACTCAGTCTTCAACTGCGACATCATTTTTACTGGCTTGAAATATAATCTACTGGTTGATGTGGGCTTCTTTAGAGAAAGTGGAAAAAGCTTTTGTTGCTTGGCAAATCTAGGGTTATTGACATGCTTAATGCTATTTGGAGTACCTAAGTTGCCATTTCTAATTGGTAACTTTTTTTAGATGAGATTGCTTGGATAGTGGAAATAGTAAATAGATTGCTATGTTAATAATCCAGATATCAAATTATAAGTATAAGTAATTAAATATAACAATTATTTCTTTGGTTTGATTGCTATGTTGAAGGACGAATTCCATTCTGAGAAACTTTTTTGTCTATGTTGAGATTCAATGCATATGTATGCCATTATGATCATATACGAGTTGTGAGGAGTTTAGGGCACTTTCTTTGGCACTTAAAGGATTATAAATTTGATAAATATATGGTTTGGTGCAATCACTTATATATTGTTAAGGAGAACATGTCTTTAGGTACATTAGGATAAATTATGGTTGTAAAATGGGTATTCATATGCTTATTTATCAAGCAAACTTTGCTAGAACTAAGTCAAGTATATTTCTAGTGTAGTTGCATTGTAACAGATACAAATATTGGTGAGTACTAGCAATAATTAAAACTATCATGCTAGTTGTCTGTACTAGAAAATATACCTTCTCCAACTCAGATGTGATGTCATAGTACCCCCAACAAAATGTTCATTTCTTTCTTTAACCCATTATCACTGCATTAGGTTCATATAGATGTGTTCCTATTGAATCTTAAATAGTATTTGGAGTCTTAACCTATAATATGATTATAGCCTAAACATACTTTGTCTGACATGTATTTATCTTTTAGGTATCAACATGTAATGTTTGGTGTTATTTGTGTTCTGCACCTTATCATTTCAATGAATTACTCATAATATATATCACATTGGACATATGCCTTCTTTTCAAGATAACATGGCTTGTCCTGGTCTAAAAGGGTTGGTAAGCTAATGTTAAACTTGTATTATGTGTGCATTGAAAGAATGTCATCCTGGGATAAACAACATGATGCTTAATGCGGAGGTAACATGCTGATATTTCTAATTCCTTGGCCTTACAGAGAATTTTTCCCTTTCAATGCTGATTGGTCATTTACTAAGATTTTTTGATAATTTTAATTGCAGATTCTTTATAGCTAAAAACATGAGTCTTTCCCTTGAGCCCCATTCTAAGCCTAATGACCTTCCTTACTAAACAACCAACAACTATCATGACTGCCTGACTTCTGTTAGCTTGCTACTTTCTTTGAGCAGAAAGACCTAGGGAAAGGAAAAAAAGGCAATTGAGATTTCATCCACCCTTGCCTGTGAGCCTAGGAGCAGCTTCACCGAAAGTCTGTTCACCACTGCTATTTTTAAATTCCTTGAAGCTATTGTTTAAGTAACTGTTGAATTGCATTTTTCTTCTGCAAAATCTCAATTTTGCAATTCTCCTTGCCTTCTCGTCTTTAATTTGTTGCAATTGTGAATTTTGTGCTTGAGTATAGTTTCATTGAGTGTGTAACATTGTGAAAAGAAAAAAATTCCAAGCTTGTTGATATAAATTGAATATCTTAGACATTCTTTCTTTCCATTATCTTCGTTCCTTTTTAATAATGTTGCCAAATTATTTATATTCGTCTTTTGTAGGTTGGTACACCCTTATGTTAGCAACCCCACAAGAAAGCTCCAGGTATGTTTTTTTTTCTTGTAATGCTTGGAAGTTTCGATTCTCATTTGAGATACAGTAACTAGTAGCTGGCCAGGAAATAAGAAAACTGCAGAAGGTATTTAAGATCATGGTTTCAGAAATAGTTAATCAATCATTTAACTAGTATGATTTTCTCCGTGGCTACATGTGGAATCCTGATAGCAATTAATACTCAACAATAATAAGATAGCTGAATAAAGCACTGATCCGTTGCATGTCATGACATGTGTTCACAAAACAGCAAATTGCGTATAGTCTTAAGAATGTCCTTGTAATGATAGTAGTAGTTGAATTGCAGATGCCTGTAAGCAAAGCTTCTATCTCATCTACTATGACATAAACCGTTACACCATTTCTTTCAACCTTTCTGAGAAACATCACATATTGCATCATTTTGAAAGCATGATTTTGGAGGAAAGACATCCACTTTTGTAAAACTGTAGTGGTATTTTAATAGCACCATGTTGGCTCCTATTTCTGTATATAGATTCAGGCTACAAATGCTTCGAATAAAAGATCTTTTTTAGTTGTTTAGAATCGTTTTTGTTAAGGTAGGCATGGCAAGTTGATGTTGATGTACTGTTGGTGCCTGAGATAAAGCTTGAACATTATATTGTTATATAGGGACTGGCAATTCTTTGAAACATTGGATCTAGTTCTTGTTCTACCTGTGTGAGCAAACATGCCTGAGAAATGAAATCCTCTAGTTTGGCCTACTCGATAGATAGTTGCTGGCTTTTTTTTGGTGTCAGTTGTACTCCATCTGGCTTTACTTCCCATGCAAAATTTACCTACTCTAGCCCTTTTGTTGCTGGAGATAGCCAACGGTATGAGTGCATTGTAAATTCTGATGATTTTGAAGTAATATATTTCTTTTGTTCCTCTACCATTTAGTAAGAAGCTAAAGCATTTTTTTTAATCTCCTATGGGAGCAGCTTTCACCTTTCCGGAATTATTGATCATGTTATTTCTTTAATGTATATAAATGAACGAGATATGTTGGCTGCCAGTATGCTTATTAAGATATTGTGATATTGATTTGCTACACCTAATCATCAAAAAATTGGCTCTTGCATGGATTCAATCTTCCGAATGACCTAATTTAAAAGTTTGAAATCATTACATGATCATGCAGGCCTTGAACCTATGACACAATGGCTGCAACTCCCCTGGATGGGATTGAAATGGCACTTATGCGCAAGTGTGAATCAAGTGTGAATCAATCAACCCAAGCATATGCCAATATCTATTCTGCTTGATCCAAGATCCCAATTTCAAAACAACCTGGCTTCATTCAAGATGTTGAGTAGATAGGTGGATGAAAGCAGGTGAGACAGGGAAAGAGATTTTTAGGCAACGACGGGGGAGAATGAGAGGGAGAGATTTGGTGCTAAGATGGGGGATGCAAGGAAGAATGTCTGAGTTTTTTAGGGTTTCCATGTGTGCAAGCATATATGCTGTGGACTGGTTTGCTTGTTTTGATTGCTTGGTCCCTGGACCAGGGCATGCACGTATTCCAAACATATCAGCTAGTAGGGATTACTGGTTAAATTGGCTGTATCATTTGCGTTGTATCTTCATTGCTTGTATCAGTCATGTAGTTGATATTTCTAGGACTAACCGATTCGTCAAATGCTTGTTTCTGGTTCATTAACAAAGGCTGAAAGGGGGCATTTGTGGGACTCCAACATCAGTAGTGCTGAAGGTTCCTAAAAGTCACTGCTTTAATCTCTGTGTTCATCAAATTGGTTTAGCTTCTTGGCCTCATTTTCACTCTTTATCATGTGATGTTAAAGAATTCATTGTGTTCTCTGCTGAGAAAACTCTTGCAGCTTCTTTGGGTCCTCCTTATCATTTTTCCTGCTTTGCTTCATTTACTCGCCCATGCAGAATCTACAGCCTGCATGCATCACAATGTTCAGCAAGGCCAAGGCCAGCTATGGAGTCCAATGAATAACGCACCGTAACAGTGATAACCTATGTGGGTGTGCCCTTAATCTTCTTCTCCATGTTTGACGGCAGTGAGCTCTGCACCATCATCGCCGCCAGATTCTTCGGCCATAGTTTCCAGTGGCTTGTAAGTGTACAACATTGCACAGGTGATGTAGTAACCCAAGTTGAGCACCTGTAACCCCGTCACCAGCCAGTAGTAGTAATCTAACTTCCCCCTGTTGATGTTGTCTTGCAGCCAGTCGCCTCCCTTGCTGGTGCAGTGGTGCACCACGGTCACTAAGAAGGTGCCCGTGTAGTTCCCGATCGACATGGCGAGCCAGAACAGCGCCGCCGCCGTGCTTCTCATGCTCTCCGGCGCCTGGTCGTAGAGGAACTCCATGTTACCCACCGACGTGAATGCCTCGGCTAGCCCGTGGATGGCGTACTGCGGCACCAGCCAGAAAACGCTGATGGGCACCACCGCTTTCGGCTGATCCACCAGCCCGTGGTCGGCGGCCGCCCCCTTCCGCTTCGCCTCCACGAGCGCGGCGGCCACGTTGGCCAATAGTCCGACGGCCATGCCGATGCCGATGCGCTGGAGGTACGTGATGCCCGACGGCCGCCGCGTGAACCGACGGGCGACGGGGACGAAGACGCGGTCGTACAAGGCGAGGCTGAGGAGCATTGTGAGCGTGGAGAAGATGGACAGGGTGGCCGCGGGGATCTGGAACCGCGGCGCGAGGTGGCGGTCCATCGTCCTCGCCTGCTGGATCGCGAAGCTGTGGTTGTGGGAGGATGCGGTGATGGTCAGGATCCCGGCGGCCCAGATGGGTATCATCCGGATGATCGACTTCAGCTCCTCCACCCGGTGGACCGTCGAGAGCGTCCACAGCCTCGGCCTGCCGGAGTCCACCATGTCGCCCTCGGTCACGATCGCGGCTCGATCCAAGAACCTACGACATGCCCATGCGAGAGACTAAACTTCCGAAGGGCACAGGCAACGCGAGAGGGGATCCCAAGGTAGTAAGTAGTAGCTTCTTTGTTACCCTAGCTGATGGGTGTGGAGCAGTCTTCCGTTGGTGGAGATGGCGGCGTCGAGCTCCTCGTCGTCGTACAAGAGACGCGGATCGGCTGGTTTGACTGCATTCCGCTTCCGGAAGGCGGCAACCACGACCTGGGTCAACCTGGTCAAAGGGCTCCCCCCGGGCTTCATCTTGATGTAGAGCGGGTAACCCATCACGAAGGCCACGACGGAGATGCACATGGCTATGGTGGGGATGCCCAGCCCCCATCCCCATCCCACATTGTCCTGGACGTACACCACCGCCGTCAAGGCCGTCAGCACCGCCACCTGCATGCTGAAGAAGTAGAGGTTGAAGAAGTTCCACCCCCCCGCGTCGGGCTGACGCCCGTGTTGGATGCCGAACTGGTCGGCCCCGAAGGCCACAACGCACGGCCGGATGCCGCCGGTCCCGATCGACGTGAAGAGGAGGGACACGTAGAGGGCCACGAGCTGCCACGCGGACGCGCGTGCGCACGCTGCAGGGCCGGTGCAGGGCGGCGGGCGGAATGCTGGGAGGATTGCCGACACGGTGAGGCTGATCATGCCCAGCTGGTAGATGACGGAGCCGATGGTGATGGTCCAGAACCGGCCGGCGAAGGAGTCAGCGATGAGGCCGCCGACGAGCGGGGTGAGGCTAGAGGTGCCGCTGAAGTTGGTGAGGGTGTTGGAGGCCTGCACCAGGGGCATGTGCAGCTGCTGCGTCAAGTAGGTGATCATGTTGGCATTGAATCCGGTGGTGGCGAATCGGTCGCAGGCTTCATTTGCTGGAGAGCAAGCAGAGTTAGTCCGTCAGCGTCAGCACAGGACCGAAGAGATAATGGACACGAGTTTGTCTCAGTACAACAAGCAAGAGAGGCGAAGTTCTCATGGGAGTGACAACTAAGATGAGATGCCAGAGCAAGTGATATGGACAAGAAGCTGAGAACTGAATGAACATTGGCATGAAGCAAAATGGAAGTGTTCCAAGAGCTCAAAAACTCACCAATGGCGTTAGATCAACAGAGATGAAAGATGGTACGCAGAGCTCAGTGACCAATGAGTGAGATAGATAGGTGACAAGAAAGGGCATCATCACAGCTCACCTAGTACAAATGGCATGGTCTTAAGGCCCCCCTGCTTTCTCTTCTTCTTCTTCTTCCCTTCTTCCTCCCTCCCATTCCCTGCCGTTGCCATCCGACCAGCTGCAGACCGGGGGAGGGCGATCTCCTCTGCTATTGTCATGTCGAGTAGAGCCTCTCTCATATATAGCCTGTTATACATATGTTCTCCGGCATATTTAATGCACCGTCAAAAGGGCATGCTACTAAACTATTTGAACAGGGATGTTACTATTTCTCGAGGAAGGTGAAGGAGCTGAGACAAAGTACTTTTTCCCACCCTGTCTCCTATCCACTATTAACATATCTTTCATGCTGCGTTCTGATCTCTACGCCAATACGAAGAACAGCAGCAGAAGCAGAAGCAGCCTTCTCCCTCTTCCATCAAGTGTGGGTAGGCCAAACCACTTATAGGCTGGTTAGGTTTGTGTTGCAGACGCAGTATGATTCTTTGCCACTCTTCCTAGTCATGCATGGCATGGTCTTTAAGGCATTTAATGTTGATGGGTGGTGGCTGGGATGAGTCAAAAGAAGGAGGACAACAAGTAGTGATGGATGATGGCTTTCTTCTCTTTCAAGTGTGCTAGTAGTACGATTTGCAAGCGGGCAGGTGCTCCTCCTTGACTCGATCACTAAAACAGTACATTTGGAATGAAGCTTCTAATCATGCTATTAACCAAGTGTCCTAATAATTGATGACACAAATGATCCTACGACAAGGTTTAAAACAATTCTCTCTCAATAAACAAGGAAAACACACATGGCTCCACCACCAGTACAAGAGCATGTGAAGATTTGGTGTCGTCTTCCTGGCTTTGTCAGTCACTATAAAGAAGGCTGTTTGTTCTCCCACACCACTAGAGATAAGGTGGTACAAAGGTTTCCGCTCGTGTTAGGCACTTGCAGATCATTAGTATTGAAACCAGTATTTACAGTTCTATTAATTTACAAAACCAATTAACGATCCTAATTTTAATATAGAATCACACAATTCAAAAGTTGGACAACATTTGTCCAACTTTCTTGCAAAGTTTTACCTGAGATTACAAAGGGCTTTCTTGCATTTCTAAACCTAATACCCACAACAACATGGAACAAAATAACTACATATCAGGTTGAACACTTGCAACCTTTTCAAACAAAATTTACAACACTAGGCATCAAATTGACAATTTGACATATATCTTTGTCTTTTTTTGTGTGTCAAAGGCCATGGATGCAGAAAAACTATGGAATTTTTATGCTACAATCCAATATTCACGTCAAACTACTACTATTCCACATCTTAGCTAGTTTAACCTCTTGTAATGAAAGGGCACCCACCCATCATAAAATAGTGAGCAAGCAAGATGGTTTCCTACTTCTTGATTAAATTAATGCCAAATTGCACACTAATTAGTTTCACATATCATTATAAAGTTCCAATGCTACCTACCTATTTTTTAGAATTATACAGATGACTGAAGCTTCATTAATGTGGAGACTCTTCACCGACCATAATTGGATCATGTTTTATACAATGACAATAGACCCCAATCATAATCAGAATAGTAGATAGATTCTATCATAAATCAAGTCAAATGAAGTCCAAACCATACATACCAAAGACAAGTCAAGGCTAACATTTGATAAGCAATCTATGATGGGAATCAACATTGGCTTTAAGTTAAAAGGCATGAGATTGAGATAGATAAAAAAGATTGAATCAATGAAAACATCATGTCAAATCAAACCACTAAACATCTTAATTATCTTCTTCTCCAGAACCCCCCCATGTAATAAAACAGTGGACAAAATGGTGGGCTACATATTGAGTTATATAACCAGTTTGAAGTAGTATTCCAAGTTCCTTTAGCAGGAGTTTTACTTTTACAACCTCAATGCCAAGGAAAGCATTACTTTTACTATTTCATTTAGCAGAAATTAGTTCCTCTTATACTAAATAGTGAGAGAAAAAGAATAATGTGAGGACATTGACAAGGAAAGCATTATGTTGTTACCATCTCTCACTTCAATGCCGTGGCATCCACTGCTTATCTCAATTATGTATACAAGGACAATGGCTTTCAAATGTAACATGATTGGGGAGAAAAAGATCCACTGGAGTGCACTGGTCATGCACAAAAGCCAAAACAATCCATCATTGCAGCAGATAAAACAACAGATAGCTCAGCATTGAACACAGTCAAGGTTAGTAGATGAGATCAAACTTATCCATTTATGTGTTCATACTTTTCATGATAATGAAAATGAGATGAGGTTGTGTGGCCTACAGCCTTAAATACAATATCACCTATTTTATGTAATAATTTCTTGATCATTGTCGTTTCATATACAAGTTCAATTTAATAAAAACACAAAAATATATTGATATAGTATAATATGAACTCTCTCTCTCTCTCTCATAATTAACATGTTCTGTATTCGGCTGCACCACGAATGAGACTTTGTCCAGAATTGTTATACTACATCTACTACTGACAGTAGTTTTCTGGCTTCTAAAGGCTCCTGTTCCTTCCTTCCATTGTGTCATTCATGTCTATGTATATACACCTACGAGTTAGGTCGTATGTATACATGAGTTAGGTTTAGGCTTTATTGCCCAATCCAAATCAGACCTGTCTTCAGCTTAAACAATGAGCACAACTGATGAACACTGGCTAAGAAGAAAAAGAACATGAGGACACTATCCATTAGCTATTTTTTTTCTTTTTGCTAGTTTTTTTTTTTAAATTTTTGTTATCATACTTTTGCTTATTATGTCTTTTTGGAAGCTCAATTCTAATATATTTAGATTTCTTCTTCACTATAGTTCATACCATGCTAATTGTCAAAGGGTTTGTTCAACAGGATACGAGAATAATTAATATTAAAAAATGAAGGTCTGTAAATTTTCTAGCAGCAGATTATGATTGGAGAGAACAATTTAACAAGATTGCAGTATCAAACAAATCTATTCATATGAGAATTTATTTAAATGTGATTATTTTTCCATGTAGCAGAAACATCACATGGTAGATGTAGAAGAAGCTAAATGAGCTCCCTGAAATAACACTGGCCAAGACTCTCCAGTAAATGATCCTCATAATAGCATGCTATTAGAGTGTACCTATTTTCGATCATTTGATTAGCACTACTTGTTACTTTGTTTTCTCAGATGCAGACTTTCAGTATCATATTAGGTACCATAAATTTCTAATAAGAGAATACTCACCATTACCGCCATCAAAGTACACATGCCATTAAAGTTCTAACATGCGGATTATGATTGGATATCCAGAATTGAACTACATTATCTTTTTTAATATGATACACATATTGAACATTTGTTATTTCATTTACTTGTTTGATTAGATTACAATACAGAAATGCATTCTCTCTTTTTCTATTGGCCAGAATAGCACTACTTGTTACTTTGTTTTCTCAGATGCAGACTTTCAGTATCATATTAGGTACCATAAATTTCTAATAAGAGAATACTCACCATTACCGCCATCAAAGTACACATGCCATTAAAGTTCATACTGGGCCACATATATATATATATATATATATATATATATATATATAAAGGTTTGTTTTGAAAAGTTCTAACATGCGGAGGTCACAAACCCATTCTGATATAACATAAACAATCGTCAGATATTCGATTATAACCTAATGAAAATAATTCACCCAATAATCCATCAGCACAAAGAAGATTGAAAAAGTGCAGATGCCTTATGAGATACATCCAACTTGCGTTTTGTCAAAATATCATAATTGTTTCAGCAGTTGTGGTTTGATCCCCCAGTTGTCACAGCAAAATGATAGCAAATAGGAGAGCAACTTGCAACTCTACTACATCCACCTCGATGATAACAGAAAGCAACCGCAATAAAATTAATCTTACGTGAACATCAGTCGCAAAGGGTCCCAAGTATGTCATCATCTCTGTAGAGGTGGTACCTGATAACAGTCAACATAGAAGACATTTAGGATCAGAACAGGAACATTTCTGCTACTATGTTAAAAACAAGAACAAAATAGAAAGCTACCCTTGTCAATGCGACCAAAGAAAATATGTGAGAACAAATGCTGAAGATTAGTATGAAACTAGAGTCTGCAATCAGCTAAAGATTTTCCCCTTGGCTTCCTATGCTTATTACAATTTATTCTGACTGTTTTTATTAGCAGCAATTATGAAGTCACACACTATCAATCCTCACCTTTCTTATCAGGTCAACGCTACCTGAAATTCATGTGTACAAATGAAAATAATTTTCATCAAAATAAACACACACATAGAAACCACAAGGAAATCACCGTGGCTAATCATCACAAATAAATTGGTCTCTGGGGATGTTATGCACACATATGTCTCATCAACATCGATCACCTTATGGTCACATCATTTAAAGTTGTGATTGGTTCAGGGTTAAAAATATAACATAACTATGTTAAACTGGGTTTAATTTTCTTTTTTTGTTTGGTTATCAAAGGATTGATCATCTAGCTTAGAAAAGAGAATGTGACTGTGTTATTTTAACCCAGGTATCTAGTTCAAACCCCTTCATCCAGGTTTTAATGGGCTAAACAAAGAATCATCAACTTGACTGCTGTAAGCCTCAATCTAACACACAGCATAAGTCTTAATTATGGGTCAGTATGTCAATGGCAATATGGTAATTAAATTTAGCCAATGATCAAAATTTTATACAAAAATTTCTATACTTAGCAGTCGGCACAAATTTTGCCTACATCCTATACCATCCACAAAGCCTGCATCCTTTGCTTTCTTTCACAAGTTAGCTTAAATCTAGAGCAGAAAGAAAGTTGCAAAGATATGTTAAACATACTCTTTCTCTCCAAGCTTCACCTCTGTCCCGCCATATTCAGGTAGCAGAACAGTGTCTCCTTCCTTCACAGAGACAGGGATAAGTTTCCCATCCCTATCACGTGCCCCAGGACCTACTGCTACAACTTTTCCAGAGTTCAACTGCCAATAAGAATGCACAGGAAGAAATAAAACTCATAGTTAAGAAAAAGCAACTGAAAAAGTCTTATTGTTTTGAACTATGAAGCAGTAATAATTTGCTTATAAAAACCTTAATTTACAAATTTAACTGACAGTGAAAAACATTATAATATCGTAGATGACTGTTGCACAAAACAATACAGAATTTTGCAACAGGAATTAATTGCACAAACATCATAATTCAGGAATGCAAACCAACTTCAAAGCCTAAGAAACAAAAAAGAAAAAGACTAACAAAAATGATTAGAAAGTAAATAAAATGATATCAAAAGAGGGAGGGAGGTAGTGAAGGTTGTAGGGAAGAGAGATGATGATGATATGACAGATTAGGGGGCAAATAAGGTATTACAGTAATTGTGATTCCCAATCAGTGTTTATAAATAATGCACTAATACAATTGTGAGGGCAATGATTCTTTATGACACACCAACTTATTAAGATTGACTGAGTTGCATGATGTAAACAAATTAACCAGATTATTTTAGTAATTTAAGTTTAGGTTTAGATAATTCACCCAGTTAATCGATATTAATTCAATATGTTGAGATGTGTCATGTCCAAAATGAGATACCATGCAATAGCTGGACCATGAGCTATAGTGTCAGTAATAGCTACTTATGTTCCATGTGCAGATTCAGAACCATATATACAGGTCAAATTTGGTCAAAAACAAGTTGGTATTGCATTCCTGAGATCCTCAGTGCAGCACCACCTAGCTTCATCTATATCTCTATTAGGATATGCAAAGCTATGGATTTCAGCAGATTATCCACATTAAATTTAGTAGAACCTTGGTCCGTAAGTTTATGTCAATCAAATGATATATGCAATAATAGGCCATCCAAAATCTATCACCACCTTCTATTACACTGTTCTTCCAAATAATACAGTTCTAATTGAACTCATTCATCCAAGACATAAACTTTTACAGGAATCTTTCCTGGAAGATAACTGGAGTAACAAAGTTGAGGAAAGGGTACATTCTGCCAACAAATATTGTATTTTTTATTTGATCATCTCTGCTCATCAACCTTCAGTCAACTCCTGAACTCCTGTGAGACCTAGGTATCTTCAAAGTACCGCTTTCTTAAAAATGCAATGAGCAAAATGCTTAAAGTTCATGTTCGAACATCCAAATACGATGCTCACAAGATTTCGTTTGAATGCGCTACGGTCATGTTTGAATGTCCATATACGAAGCTCACAAGATACATTTTTCTGGATCCCTATTGGCAATCACAATATCCACAATACAGGAACATGAGAAGAGGGACAAATTTTGGGCCTCACCCAACGAAAGCCAAAATCGTTTAAAACCAAGGTCACAAAAGAATCGCCAAAATTATCAATCAATTACAGCCCAAATAAAAGATCTAATTTGATTAACACCACCACTTTCCGCAAGAAACGCAAGCCTTCTTCTCGGCCTTGATCCACTTCTTCAGTTATAACCAAATACCAAATCTTGATAAACATCTAATACGATTAAAGTCCAAGATCAAAGATCTAATTCGATTAACCCCACCGCTTCTCCACGAGAAACAAAATTGGTCTTCTTGGCCTTGATCCACTTCTTCAGCTATAACCAACAATCAAATCACGATAAATATCTAATACGATCAAGATTCGATAAAGCTCCAACATCCAATACGATGAACATCACCACTTCTCTCAAGAAACAATAATATTCTTCTTGGCCTTGATCCGCTAATTCAGTTATGAGCGAAACAAAATCTTGACACGCCATACGAAGCAGATTTCACCAGCGATCGATCATTTTAATGCATTACATCAAATGCGGAATAGAAGCAATATGCATCGATAAAACCTAGATTTTTTCAAAACGATAAAAAGAAACAACAAGAACATGCAACTAAACCACAGTCTCTTTTTACCTTGGTGGTCTTCTCCGGGAGAAGGATTCCAGCACTGGTCTTGGAGGGAGGGACGATCTTCTCCACGAGAACGCGGTTAAAGAGAGGAATCAGGCGCTTCGCCATCGACGGCCGCAAGAAGAAAGCGAAACGACCTTTAGTGAGCTTTCTCTCTTGCCTTTGCGTAGGGCTGCGCGAGCCCGAGCAGGGTAGGGTTTAAGAGGGGCTCTTCGGTAACTAAATCACTAAATCACCCTTACCATTCATCAATAATTACGAGTCACTTTCCACGTTAGCTTCGGTATGAGAGGGGCAAAAGTGGAAATGTCGCAGCCACAAGTCTCGAACGGTTGGCTTTGGCAGCTAGGGTTCTACAAGTGAGTAGAAGGTTCATGAATGTGCTCCTCCGAAGGCCGGGCTTGGGCCTATGTCTTCTTGCTTAAATGGGCCTTAGCCCAAGCCATATATGATGAACTGGCTTATCTATTTTATTTTTCTAATATATACATATATATATATATAATAAAATATAACAATAACTTAAATATAAAGTCGATTAAAGCATAGAAATACTGCATCGCAGCAAATTAAAAGTAACATTTGCAAGTATAATTCATGACATATATTGCAACCACATAATTCAAGGAATTACTTCGAACGAGAAGGATGTGGACATGTAGGGCTGCTGCTTTCCGAGTCTTCCAGTCTTCCTCTTATCCTTTGGTGTTTCCAAGCCACTAGCAACCGCAATAAATGATCACTTCACGCCATGCGTGAACGCGACGGTAATAGACTACCATCCGATATCGTCAAACCATTTGTGGAAAGGAGAGATTCCCATGACGTCAATGCCATGACGGAAACCCACTCCTCCGCGTTCTTATAAATCTGCCCTCCTGCAGCAATCGTATGCGCATCACGGGAGGATGAGGAGAGGCGACGTCCTCGTGCACGGCCATGGATTCCTCCTCTTCGCGCTGGTCGTCCTTTTCCTCGTCACTTGTTTTCTCCTACCACCGGCTGCCGACGCACGAGCGGCTCCGTCGGAGAAGAAAGACAACTCGGCGTCTGCCGAAAGTAAGTAAAAACTTATTTCACTGCTCTTAATTAATATCTTCTTGTGGGGGGAGCTTCCACTTATCTTGTGCATATCTGTTCGTTTACTCCTTTCGAGCTGGCGTAGCGGGAGGCGTCGTCAAAACGTACCCAGCCATGTCAACCAGAAAACTACAGTCGTCATGCCCACCAAATACCCCGATCAGCTACTGCGCGTTAGATCCTAACCATCCTGTGACACTTCCGCCTTCGCCATGCCGACGAAACGGGGCTTACACCTGCTCGCCACGTCGTTCGCCTCAGCCTCCGCCTCCGCCTCCGCCGCCATGACAGGCTATATATATATCCTGCGGTGGTATTGAGCTGAATCGAGATACGTACGTCCGTGTCGTGCAGATCCTTGGACGAGAAACAAGTTGAAGAAAGTAGTAGCTAAACATAATAAGAATAAATTCGCTAGCTGGATGTGCGGGGTATCAAACAGTATACTGTGTGAACGACGGCTTCAGAAGGATGCTTGAAACGTATATATAT